AAGAAGAAAAGTTAAGCCGACAATTACTATCCATCAACCAAAACTGATCACTGGGCAAGGCAAATTTTAAAACAACATCAACAACTAATTGACCTTGTCACGAACTCGTTGTTAAACGCTATCTTAATATGTTGTGTTTACCAGCCAATTTTCTGCGATCACTCGTTGACTTCACGCCCCGGCACCACAATCCAACGAAATAGGTGTCAAATGTCAATGAGTCAAAGGTCAAATGACAGGTATTTAATTACATTGTATTTAACGTGTTCAATATTTTGCTTATTGGCAATTCATGTTTACTCTTTGCTAGATGGATGCTCAACTGGGGTTATTTGCGATTTAACAGCTTCATTTTTATGATCTCAAAGCTAGACTGAGTGGGAATGTAATGGCCCAGGGTGATGAAAATAACGGCGACGGAAGCGAGAACGCGACAATGCCAGAAATCACACTTCTCAATATTAAATTTTTAGTCCTTAATAAATCATGCCTGTATGATTATAGATCGGCAGTGAACGAAGCAAAAGGATCAGGATGGAGCTAGATTTCTGCTGTTCAACAGTCTACTATTAACTAACCTGAAACGAAGCGCTGACTGTAGGACAACTGAAGGCGAAAAATATTGCAGGTCCACTGGTAAAGTTTTCCTTCCGATCAGTCCCCGAGTCAACTAAAAGACACTGGGTCTGAAAGAAAAGGAGAATTAGAAAATAAATTTGTTCATTATTAGATGCTGAAAAATATTTTAAAACACCACATAATTCATACTTACCCTCAGTACGAACCGTTCTGTCGAACAAACAGATCAAACACTTGCGTCACAATAACAATTCGAACATGTGACGTGCGATGCTCGCGCTGTCTTTCACCTCCGCTCAGACGATTCCACCATAAATAAGTATTAAAAAAAAGAATAATAATGCTGGCCTGGGCGTGAAAGAAAGCTAAGGGGCAGTCAGAAAGTAAAGGAACAAGAAAATAATACAATCTTCGACAAACACTATGAAATTGTTTTGAATACAAACTTTGCGCGCTTTGGTTTTCCAGGGAGTGCAAGCTGTTCGTACAGCGGTTACACCAAATAGCATGAAGACGAGGCTCATGTTCATTGCCACGTCGGCCATTTTGACAGTCATCTTTTGCTCGTTTCTGTGAATTTTCGTGGAATTTTGGGACCATAATGGTAATTTTCATGCTTTATAACTCCTCTTACTTGATATTTGAAAACATGTTATTGTTAAAATGTTATTTTTGGAAGGATAAAGCAATTCTGTTTTTTTCTTTACCAGTCTTAAGATATGACGGCAATGTAACCAAAACTCGTGTCGTAGGATAGCTAAGTAAATTCTCTTCTTTCTTTTCTTTTCTTTTGCATAATCTTGGAACCAACAGCCGTTGAGGTTAGACGTGAAGGTATGTTAGGCCCAGTTCAGACGTCGTGCTTCTGCCGTGCCGAACTTAATTGTAATTTGGTTCGACTGTAGCACGGCAGGAAAACAACTTTGATTCAGACGTCGTGCCAGAGTCGAACCAAATTCAGGATTTACTGATGACTGGTAACAATTCTTCTCCCAACTCCCCGTGGGAACGCAATCTCGCCAAAATACATTAATATAATTTATGAATTTTGTTTAGCGCGGCAGAAGCACGACGTTTGAATCGCTGCCGTGCCAGAGCCGTGTAGCACGGCAGAGCTTGTCGAACTTAATTGCTTGCCGAACTTAATTCAAAAGTTCGATTCAGACGCCGTGCTTCTGCCGTGCTTTTGTCGAACTTAATTCCTGAATTTAGTTCGGCACGGCAGAAGCACGACGTCTGAACTGGGCCTTATTCAATCCCTTAATAGTAACCGTTTATGTGCTAAAGCTAAGTATGCGGTTATAAGCAGCGAATTCGGACAGAACCAATGTCAAATTACAGTGGAACCACGATGGAACGAAACTCAATATAATGAAGTCCTCGGTACAACGAACGATTTTCTTGACTCCAGTAATAGTAAATTAAATGAAAAAGAACCTCGATGTAACGAAACTTCGTTCATAGCGAGCTAAATTTGCCAGTCCCTTGATCCCTCGTTCTATCGAGGTTCCAGTGTATTCTCATTCCTGATAGCCTGTTGTATGAATGGCAGGAAAGAATGACCTACATTTAACGTTCTAGCAAACTAGACATGAGCTAAATGGCTGGCGCAGTCATAAGTTGCTAAAACCTCTGATTAAGTGAAGTTAAATATCCAAGATCTAGACTAAAGCCCATTGAATTGTATGCTCCTGTCTACGTTTTGTTTCCCAGGCTTAAATATTGTAATAGATGTGATAAAAATAATTACTTCATGGGAAAAGACAGATGTTTGTACACGTATGAATGTATGTAGTAGTGAAAATATAAGTATAGTAGTCATCAATGCATTGATGTTGTACACTGCAATTCTTAACAGCGCAAGCTTTCAGCACGTTCAGATCGCGTGAAATGTGTGGATGTTCACCCCACTGAGCAATGGATGTTAGCGAGTTTATATAATGGAAATGTGCATGTGTGGAATTATGAATCCCAAGCACTGGTCAAGACTTTTGAAGTCACTGATTTGCCAGGTATAATGATAGTTTTTGTCATTTTAAAGCAGTAGTTTGAGCTTGCTATTACATGTACACTGTACCATATTTTCTGGTTATAAATTGCAGCATTTTTTAACAAGAGTTGGCTAGATTGCTTAAAATCTGCTGTTACAGGGTGTGTCTTAAAACCAAGTATCATAAGGCAACAAAATCAAATTATCTTTTTTTACATTGTTTGGCTCATCCTCTTCTTTTGCTATTGGTTTTGAATGACGTCTATATTGTTAAGCTTGCAATAGCCCAACAAAAAATTTTGCATTCCAAGCGAATCACAACACCAGTTGCACTAAATGTTGATGCTTGGTAACTTAGCGAATTCTTGAGCACGTTCTTGATCCGATATGATGGTTTGTTCACTGTCCTGTGTATACAGTGTAATTGCCTTTGTTTTAATGCGTCATTTGTTGAAGAAAGCTGCAAAATCTCTCAATATAACTGTGAGAGCTCTTTTATCACTGGTATTTTAATAACGCAAGACTAAATTGTCTTATTTCTGGTTAGATTATTTTTTATTTGTTTTATTTCAGTACGCACTGCCAAATTTGTCCCCAGGAAGAACTGGATTGTTACAGGATCTGTAAGTATCATTAGGTACACAGTGTAGTAATTAACAATCATTGAATGAGGCTGAGTATCATCTGAAGAATAAAATTATGGAGGGCGAGGAGGGTGTTATCTGCTGAGGTTGTAGTCCAAGGCAGATAACACCCACCGAGATCCCCATAATTCTTCAGATGATACGAAAGCCGAATTGAATAATAATTCAAAATAACTCCTAGTTTAAAAACAAGCTAAAACATCCTTACCTCCGTCAATGTTAAGTTCATCTCAATAGTCCATGTTTATCGGGAAGATTAGGAGATAAAGGGTTGTTCAGGTCTGCAAAATCTTCTCCAAATAGCATATGTTGTCCGTCGAGTTGTCTTCTTGCCATGTTTTTAGACGATAGTTCGCCTTTTTCTTCCTCATGAAACTAGTAAAATGTTCCTCCATTTTTTACTCACTTCCAAAACAACTCAAACTTGGCCCAAGGTCTTCTTCTTGATTAATGGATCAATAATCTGAAAATTTTGCTGCACTGTTTTATTGTCACAAATGCATGTTAAGAAATGTTGATCTTTTGAATTTTTTATTTTTAGGATGACATGATGCTGAGGGTATTTAATTACAACACTCTTGAGAGGGTACTGTTTCTTAAATTTATTTTCTCAGACACCTGCTGAATTTTATCGTTCCTGCGAAAATAGTAAAAATTAATGACATTCATACAGACCAGATCGAACAGAGATTATTTTATTGTGAGTGATGTCTTTGTACATTGTGGTTGTGTTTAGGTGCATGGTTTTGAAGCTCATTCAGATTACTTGCGATCAATTGCCGTTCATCCTTCTCAGCCGTACATTCTTACCAGCAGCGGTGAGTAAACAGTGAAACAATAATATGGTGTCTAAGTGTGATTGTTATATGGTAAATAAAATTTGAAGGGTTTGCTAGAAAAGGGGCACTTGTAACGACCTAGTAAACAGTCACAAGCACCCATTTTCTAGGAAACCATTCTGTTATAGAACCTAGATTGGATTATTTTGGTTCAAGTCAACATTACTCCATAGTAGTGTACGTCATTACTATCTTATTGATTTTACATATATAGGTTCACCAATTTTGGCAGGGTCACCACAACAGCACTTGACACTAATACTTATTATTATCACTCAATGCAAATTAATTGTTCTTCCTTTTCATTGGCCAAAAGCCCACCACATGACCTAAAAATAACATTTAGATAACATGAGACCCTGAGTGTTTGTCTGGCTCGGGTTTGAACCAGCGGCCTCCTGCTCAGCACATGGGCATTTATCCAACTGAGCTATCCAGGTGATAGCCTTTAAGCTCAAAGAGGTAACATCATACAGAACTGCATTTGTACGGTCAAACCTCTGTACAATGGTCAGCCTTGGGGAATGGCAACTAAGCTGACTATTACATATTATAGGGTGACTGCTATATACAGGTCAACTTTGCAGAAAATATAAGGCATTGTTATATTCTTAGACTTTCACTCAACTGAACAGGGACAGCCATTGGCTGATTCTTGGTCACGTGGCCTTGACTAAAATCAAATGTATCCCGATTGTGATACATCAGGCAATGTACCCCGCTCGGGATACATTTCAGCACGTGATCAGAGCATGGTGGAAAGTGGCGTGACAGAAGACGGGAAAAACACTGCCAGTTTTCTTTCTCGTGAATGAACACAGCAACATTCACAATAACACAAACATGAAGCCTCAAGCTAAAAAGCAACGATTTTCAAAGTTATCCCAGAAGACAAACAGCAGCTAGTGGAGGAAAAAAGATGCAGATAATATAAGGAAAGTACTTTTTAAATCGTTCATCAGTGGTTTTGAGAATTAAATTTGTGTTCTTATAAGTACCGAGTCGTACTGTTTGGGAGTAGATATAAATGCAAATTTTACATTTAAGTATGCCTACAGATAGACTTGAAGTACGTTGGAGTGAAAGTCTAGGAATATAACAAAACACTTAATGTCAGGTCCCTCGGGAAACCAGTTAGTTTTGTTTTCCCTAAAGTCCTGATGTTTCCCTCGACTTCGTCTCGGGAAACATCAGGACTCTTGGGAAAACAAAACTAACTGTTTCCCTCGGGATCTGACATTAAGTGTATAATATTGAAAATTTTTGGGATGTTGTCCAGTGAACGTATTATACTAACCTGAGACCAGGCTCAATTTTCGTTTCGCTTTGTAATAATATTCCGGCGGGCAAGGTGAAACGAAAACAGAGCCTGATACAAACCTTTTACGAAACGTCTGCTTCCCACTTTTTTGATTGATTGACATTTCTGGCATCAGCCAACCAAAATTACTTCCGTTGCTTGTTTTTCTAGTATGCAAATTTTTCATGCATGGGAAAAATGCAGACTGGCTGAATTAAAAAATAGCTTTTATCTGTTCATTTTTTCAGCTAAAAATAAAACAGTCAGCACAATCACATTTAACTTCTTGCAAGATTACTGTAAAGGAGATCTTGAAGGTTATTTCTGTTGGGGTAGAAGGTAAAAAGTTTTCGAAAAGACGCTGACGCGATGTTCTACTAGCTTTATTATTTTGGCTAGGTGCCCTCAAATTTAAAATACTGAAATTTCTATTTTTCTTTTGCCTTAATATTTTCCTCCGCAATTTTCCCCAATTTCCAGTACATAAATCTTTAAAAATCATGAAGAAATATATCGCGAACTTTTTCAAAGGATAAATTATGTAAATTATTTCAGAACAAACCAAACGGGTTCTCAAGTGTATTTATTTCTTAGTAATGCAGCTGATTTAGTCCTGTGCGTACACTTGCAGTAATATTTGCGAATATACTAGAGAAACAAATGTCTAAAAATTATATATATTTTTAAAACATCCAGGTAAATATTATCTGCCACTAACTGCATGCTCAACTGACCTATAAACAAAATGAAAAACAATATTACAAACACACTTTGTAGTTCTCCTTAGTTGTGTTGTTGTTTTACTGCAGGTCTAAAAAGCTCGCTAAATTTATTAATCGAAATAAACAAACAGCAAACAGCCAACAAGTGAGGACACCAGTTTTCCTGGTTTATTTCTCACAAAAAGCGACGGCAAACAACAAGTCTTTTACCTTAAGACTAGCGTCACCAGCTTTTATAATAATGTCTACAAAAATTCCTTGAACAGCGATGCGATATTTTTCGTCTAATACTTCACCGTTGGCGATTGAGGTTATCTTTGCAGTGAGCCTCCGCTTGCGTACCCCATTCAGAGAAGTCATTCCCGGCCAAACTTTCAAATGAAACCAGTTTTAAGATGGATAGTATTTTGATTTGCACTCGTTTGTTGGTAAATCAAAAGGCACCTTGTTAGCGGTCAACATCTTTCAGAGGGATTCAACTCTGTGTTACAGTCACATTAGTTCCATAACTAAATCAAATCCTGAGAAGATATGAACAGCCATATGAATTTTCTGAATTTCCATGGCACATACATGTATTAAGGCATATTTTCCTACCATAAGACCATAAAACAATAAAAAAGACAGCAAAATCGATCCTTCTCTCCGCCGATGGCGGGTCATTTATGAAAACAACCATGAAAGGAATAAGCGCTTTCAACTTCCAGCATATCCGATAGCCAATCAGATCTTGCAGCATTCTTCAAAACAGCCAATCAGCGTTACGGCCAAAATCGTAACTACCACAAACATGAGAGAATTATTTGTATCAGGCCCTTTTTAAGCAGTAGCCGTTACAAAGAATGTATGAGAACCGCTAAAATTGGGCCTGATCTCAGGTTAGTAATATACATGGTGACCACTATATACAGGGCTATTACAATGTATATACAGGTTTGACTGAATGCATTTTATGCACTGTTTGTAGAGTCCAGTTGCCATACTGTAAGAGCACATTTGAGAGCAATAATGTACATGTATTCCCTGTCCATGATGGGATATTGGTTTAGATTATGGTGTGGTTACAACATTACTAACAGGAAACTGGTGGCAGTGTGTTCTCCAGTGTTGGTTAGTCATTCCGACACGCCTCATTCTGCCAACCAATGTTGTAACCATTTGGAAACCCCTTCAACATTGTCGAGAGGTGTTGTGAAGGCTTTATACATTGTACTGGAACACAACATTCACAATGATGGTCACGGGGTTTTGTAAATTATTGTCTGATTACTGATTGACTTTTGTTTTTTCTTTCTTGCTGTTTTTCCAATCAGACGACATGCTGATTAAGCTATGGGACTGGGAAAAGAAGTGGCTATGCAGTCAAATTTTTGAAGGACACACCCACTATGTGATGCAGATTGTCATTAACCCCAAGGATAATAACCAGTTTGCTAGTGCTTCCCTGGATAGAACTATCAAGGTGTGATTGCGATACATGTTGTATATGTATAAATTATTCCCAAAACAAAATATCACTTCATCAGGTGATTGGGAAACTACATGACTGTACAATGTACATGTACTCCATTACACCCAGAAGTCACCAGTGGAGTTGGTGTAACACCTCTTTCACTCTCAGTGTTAACAGTCCCTTGCAAATACATGTATCAAGGACAATTCCAAAATGTTAGAAATCATATTAGTTGATTGATTTCTTTTTGGACTTGAATTATTTTAATCTGAAATTGGAAACTTAGAATTTGGTCTATGCAGACAGTTGTTGTAACATCATTACTATTCCAGGCCCATCTCTATCATTTTGTTTGGGAGTGAAAGGGTTTAATGTTATAATACCTTCTTACATAATTGTATATTGTACAACAAACATGTAAACTTGATCATAAAACCGTAGTTCTTGTTATATTTTTATTGTACTTTCTACTTGCCATCTTCAAAATCAAATTCTTTATTATTTTCAGTGGGATTAAGTAACTGTCATAATGCTTTGAATACAATTTAAACATAACAGATGTGTAATAGTGGAGCTCCACACCCCCATACATAAAAAGATTTGGTAATCACACGACCTTACATCTACCCGTTCGTCCGAACCACAGGACAACCAATGCAAAATTTCAAACTTTTCTAGCTAGTGTGGGAGCCTGTAACGTGTATTTACCTTGATGATAAACATCAATATTATGATCGATTGACAGCTGTCGAAACAGGGCATGTGCTGACCAGAGTCACATGGCCATACTGCGGTCTCAGGTGCCGAGGTTACATTTTTTTAAAAGTTTCCTGTTACCAGTTACTAGTTCTCTAATTGATCACAGGCTCAAGTTTATGTTTTTCAGTCATATGGTTCTCCTCTAAAGTTAAGTATAGATTTGTGGATTTCTTAGCATTGGTTTAAAGTCCATTGTCTGAAGGAAATTTAAAATGCATAACCTGGTGCTTCTGTTTTAGCTTTAGCTAAATCTATCTAAAACTATTAAAAGAATACACACAAGATTGCCTTTCTTTGTTTTCAGGTGTGGCAACTTGGTTCCACTACTCCAAACTTTACTCTGGAGGGACATGAAAAGGTTAGAGCTGAAATTTAATGTTCTACTGGAGCTGATGTATTATCATGGAATGAGAAGTTTAGTGCCTGGAGAGATGTAGAAATTCTTGCCTTTGCGGAAATCTTTTTGTTTTGTTTTGTTTTGTTTTTTGTCTGATACTTGTACATGTATGCTGTACACGTGGGGTAGGCACCAAGTTATTAAACCCTCTTTTTTATTTACCAGGGAGTAAACTGTGTTGACTACTTTCATGGAGGAGAGAAGCCATACCTTATATCTGGAGCTGATGACAGACTTGTGAAAATATGGGATTACCAGGTTAGTTTGTTTCTTACTTTTTGTGGCTTAATTTTGTGAAGATGTTTGTAATCATGTTGTCTACATGTTTACCAGAAAACCAAAGAAATGCATTGCTGTGACTAGAAAGTGGAAGTTTTAAACATTTTGTTTTATTTGTTTATTAATTTATTTATGATAAATCGATAAAGACCTGCAGGGTACTTATACTCTAAGAATTAGAAATAAGAATGTTTTTAAGTAGAGTGTAGATCAAGTTTGCTACTTACGAATACACATTTGACTTTGTAAAACCTTCATTTTTTGCTTGCAATACTGTATTTTAGAACAAGACCTGTGTGCAAACTCTTGAAGGGCATGCTCAGAATATTTCCTGTGTTGGGTTTCACCCAGAACTTCCTATTATCTTGACTGGTTCAGAAGATGGTATGTGACAGGCTTTTTTTTTATCTTTTGAGCAGTGACAGGTTACTTAAAGGCAAAGCCTTATTTTGCCCTTTTTTTCTGTGCAAGGTACATTTACACTGTATGTTATCACATCTAGAATGTACAGTGGCCCTCGACAGCAAAATAAATATTATTATATTGATGACTTTCTTGTTTAGAAAGTCTCCCTTACAACAGTCTACGAAATGTTGTTCTTGACCTTGAGTTGGCTGAGACGTTACCAATAATTATTGTAATACCTGCAATGGAAATTATTTGTACCTTAATGCAACACAATTGCATAAACTGCTATTGTAACTAAAGCATTATTTTCCTATGCATTGTAGGCACTGTTCGCATTTGGCAAGCTAATACGTACCGCCTGGAGAGCACCCTTAATTATGGACTTGAGAGAGTGTGGAGTATGGCTATGTTAAAAGGTTCAAACAATGTTGCTCTTGGATATGATGAAGGCAGCATTCTTATTAAGGTTTGTTGGCTTAAGTTGTTGTTGTTGTTTAGTTGCATACACTGTACATTTTCATCTCCCTCTTAGCTGGACAAACTGTAATCAGCAATGGTTGTCCATCATAGAGAGATGTCTATTTTATGTCCAGAGTAGAAGAAAATTGCTAAAACATTAATCATGAACCGTGTTTTTTAAGCAAGACTTCCATCTTTGATATAGAGGTACAATGTAGTTGGCTCTAGAAAATAGCACATGTAGTATAAAACCATCATTTAACAAACAATCAGTGTCCAATTGATTTGGTCTTTCTGTATAAAGTGCAGTGGTGTATCCAGGGGAGGCCCCCTATTGTTAGACCAAACTGAGGCCTGAATTTGAGACTTCCTCCCCATCCCCAGGGTCAGGTCTGGATCTGCCACTGAGGTGTTATGTGAAAGAGAAAAAAAAAACTATTAGTTTCTCTTAATTGCTTCTGTATGCGTAGAATCTGGAGTCTCCTTTTAAACTTCACTTTATTAAAAAATAATAGATTTGCTTAAAAGTTAGGCTAAGAGGTTAGGCTGCCTACTCATCATTTCATGTCAGGTTAAGTTCTGTTAGAAATGAATTTGGTCATATCAAGTATATAGTCATGTTGCATTGTAGCAAACACTGCACAAATGGGATAATCATTATCAGGTCACAGTGGACATCTTGCATGGCATCCTCGCTTTGCAAATGCTTGCATCAAGTAGTCATTAACCCCTAGATATACCGTACATGTACATGTCTACTTCTACATGCAGATGCATGCCTGTACTTGTAGATACATGTACATGTAGTAATACAGTAACAGATACGCAGCAAGAGCTGAATGTTTTAATGTTTATCTAGCTTGGTCGAGAGGAACCGGCTATGTCCATGGATGCCAATGGTAAAATTATATTTGCCAAGCACAGTGAAATCCAGCAGGCTAACCTTAAAAACATTGCTGGTGAGTCAAACGCTAAGTTTTCAGTACCAACAGTTAAGTAAAGGGATGCCTGGAACAAGCGTTAAGTGAGTTTTGTAGGGTTTTCATTAAGAATTCTAGTAGCAGGAGAAAGATGTTACATTACATGAAAATATTTCAAAAGAGGCCCCACATCTGAATAAAAAATAGTCATACACATGTGGGCCACCCAATTTTAGTCGGAGAATTCAGTCTAATAAATGGAGAATATTCTGATCTCTTATGCCTAATGAACCTCTTGCTTTTGATAAACTGTGTTTTGCCTTTCCAAGTTTCCCCTTGTTTTCTTGTAAGGTGCATAGGATTTGACATGGGATTAGAGGTCCTAATGGGCACTTTTTGTTTTGTTTTGTTTGGTTTTGTTTTAAAGCCATGTGGTTCTCTTCTGCATCAGAGGTACATGATTTGTACAAAATGTAAATGACAGCAGTCTTAAACTGTATTAGAAGCTACAGATGTATGAGCTGGGTAATCAGTGTCTGTGTACTCTGAGCACAGCACCCACCTTCAAGTGGAATAGAGAAGAAGCCAACTCTCAAATAAACTCTCCAACATTCACTGCCTAATCAACCCTGGGCACCCTTCCTCTTTAAAACAAGTAATAGTGAAAACCCTGAAAGGCATATACTTGTATCGCAAAACCTCACATGAATAGCCAGCGGTGAGAATAAAAGGAAAACTGACCAAGGAAAAAATGACCAAAACAAATGGAAAAATGAAAAACCAAAAACAACAGGATCACTCACCTGTTACATGTCTTCTAAATCACTGAGCCTTGGTAGCTACATTTGTACTATGCATCTTTGCAACAAAATTAAACTTGGGAGCCATGCATGATGCAGGTCAATTTAAGTTTCTGGGAAACTGCCTACCTATCCCTCCCCTAAGCTAACGTTAACACTTACTTCTCACTTGGGCTAAAATGATGGCTTAGGGGATGGGTAGGTGGGCAGTTTCCCAGAAACCTAAGTTGATCCCATAATGCTATTTCAGACTAAATTATATACCTTGCATATGCTAGAAATTGTAGTGTATTTCTAACTGGCTTTCTTTCTGCTGATCAAGACCATGATGCAAAAGATGGTGAACGGCTGCCTTTGGCGATTAAGGACATGGGCCCTTGTGAGATGTTTCCACAGACTTTGTCTCATAATCCCAATGGAAGGTATGTTCATTGTATTGGTGCTTTTTTATTTTTTCGTTTTCCTCTTGTTCAGCAGAGAATTATTAATGTTCTTGTTCTACTTTTTTAACTTGTACAAATAATGTACACACCAGTGTGATTGTTGTATTTTTATTTTTTTATTTTTATTTATGTTATTATATTCTTTATTAATATATTTTGTTTGGTCACACTTTGTCACAGGTTTGTGGTCGTCTGTGGTGATGGAGAGTACATCATTTACACAGCTATGGCACTGAGGAACAAGAGCTTTGGATCTGCTCAAGAGTTTGTCTGGGCATCTGATTCATCTGAGTATGTACTTTTTAATAACTGCATTGTGCAGTAAATTGATTTATTATTGTTCTGAAGAATTTTGTCTTTAATTTGATCTACCAAGCATCAATACATGCAACACTGTGACACTAAGTCTTTTCAATTCCAGATATGCCATAAGAGATGGAAATAAGATCAAGATCTTTAAGAATTTTAAAGAAAGGAAATCATTCAAACCTGAATATGGAGCAGAAAGTAAGTTTTTGTGTTATCTCAGTTTATCTTTAACTTTTGACCCTTTGCCAAGAAGTTGACGTCTATTTAGGTAATAAGCTGTATGTTTGGAGGTTTGACTGTGAAGGTTAAATGGTTGTGGTGGCGAGACAAAACATGGCCCACTGTTACACTTGTAGCTAGACTGGCCAATTGATTGTTGACTTTTTTTTAAAAAAAAAAAATAGATCTGTTTACCGTATTTCCTCGAATAATAGCCGGGGAGATTTTTTTTTTTTCGCGCCAAATGGGGGCGATTATTTAAGGGAAGGCAATTATTCGAGGAAGGTGGTTATTTCAAAGACATGTATTGCTCACTGGAAGTCATGCACCAGATATTTCACTTTATCATCCCGTTACTTATTAAAAATAATCATATCAAATGAACTGAACATGGGCTTTTTAAGTGTTCCAGATTTGTTTCTCTGATTAATTTTCAATTTCAATATCCTCAGTGTCAGAGCTTGAGTTGTCACTGATCAGTTTTTAATTATTTATTCATTTATTTTTATTATTAATTTCTTTTAGATATATATGGTGGTCATCTTCTTGGAGTGAAGTCTGTCAGTGGTCTTGGCTTCTTTGACTGGGAGAGCACAGATCTTGTGCGTAGGATAGAAATTCAGCCAAAGAGTGTAAGTGGATAAGCCCCTCTCTAGCTTGCTTTGAAATGGATTCAATTTTTTTGTGACTTGTATGTTCAAGCTGAATAAAAACCAGAAAATGCAAAACTTTTGGTCAGCGCTGCTTTTGCTTGTTTCCAAACGCATTTGCTATTCCGGTTATTACTCCATTCGCATATAAGACTCGTCGTTTATAAGCCTAGGGCTTATAAACGGCAGTTAACGATATACAATGTACTATGTGTATCATTGTGAATTAAAAGGAAAGCACATTCAAGTGTGTTAGCACAATGTACACTGTAATATGTTTATTGACATGTACCTTTTTTTTAATGGCAGATTTATTGGTCTGACAGTGGCGAACTTTGTTGCATAGCAACGGAGGAGTCATTCTTCATTCTTAAGTACAGTGCTGAGAACGTTGCTAGAGCACAAGAAACACCAGAAGTGATGACAGAAGATGGCATTGAAGATGCTTTTGATGTAAGATTTTAATTTGTGATGAATACTTTTCTTAAATAGTGTAAACCTGCAGAATAGTATACAATTGACAGTAGTTAACAAAAAGGGACCTTTTGACTCGGGAACGAGAACGACTACGAGTACGAGATTTGACTTTAAGTTTTCTCGGGTAATTTCCAAAAACAAAAGGACACCCTGGAAAGCGTTGTTGTACTTGTTTACACCAGAAAAGAAAGCACTGTTTTCTTTATTGAAGAAAGGTAAGCCCTCTCCCGATCGCAAATTGATAAAACTTGCAATATTTCATAACTTCTTTCTGTCACTACGACATCCTCGCTAAAACCCGAAGTAGACTGACGACAACTATCACGTTTTCTCAATAAATTTAGTTATTGCTGACTGTTTAGCTTTTACGCGTCTCGATGGTGTCCGCTCTCGAGAGCTTCCAGTGCAATTAAATCAGATAACAGCTGCTGCGCGTTTTTATGGTGAACAGGTTTGTGGCGAAATAGAAGATTGTGTGAAGACTGGCATCTGGGTTGGAGATTGTTTCATCTACACCAATGCTGTGAATCGACTGAATTACTATGTCGGCGGAGAAATTGTCACTATCGCCCATTTGGACAGGTTTGTGCGTTAATTCTTCATCTTGATTGCATATTTGTAGCTTTTTCTCATCTAGCAGGTATAGTGAAGTTTACCACATAGCTAAGTACTCTGATAATGTAGTAGAACTGCATCTGAGTGAAGTTGTTTTTCTTTTAAGCTTCCTTTTCTCAACCGAGTTTACCTCCAGCTTTCAGCTTTATTTTCAAGTAAATTTTCTCCTGGTCGGGAGTACCGTAGATAAGAGTTGGCTAGCAGCCCATCTGGAGTCAGTTTCAGTTTCGATGTATAGCCCCTTATTTTGTTGGTTTGTACTGTAAATTAGAGACCTAAGATCATTGTTTTTCGACATTTCCCGCGAACCGCGATCGTCAAGAAGTCGTGACTAGCGCCTTGCCGTCAGGTTTAGGGTTTGAGGTTCTCGTTTGTACGGGTAGACCACGCTCTATTTTTCACTATAAAACAACACAATTCTACGTTTGAGAGGAAATACTACTTTTAGAACTCCTTTGCTAATTAATTATGGAACTGTTTTTTGAAGACGATTTCTCAGCTCAAATAGAAGTGAACGAATGAATTAAAACAAACATGCAGCTCCGTGCTACCAGCCGCGAATCCCAAGTCCCAAATATGGGTAGACGGGTAACGTGAAACCGCCAACCGCAAACCGCGGTTTGCCGTTTGCTGTAAGATGGCCAAACCTCGATCTTAAAGTCTCTATATACATGTATTCTTCCTGTTCGCTCATTCTCGCGTGCTGCACTTGTGAATGGATCAAGTCGATTAAAATGGCATGATTCCATCACTATAAACTCCTAACTACACCTAAGAACAGTGCAGAGAGAAAAGAAAGCTTGTCGCCTTTCTAACCTTGTTTTGATGGTGAAGAAAGTGAATCAAAGCTACCACAGGCGTATTTGCCATTCCCTAGTTTTTCTAACTCTTACACTTTGAATTACCCTTGATTGTAATGTCAGAAAATGCCGCACCTGATAGTTAATTAGGAATTGTATGGAATCGTGGTAGATAGAAGCTGCTTTGCATTTAGTTTTAGCTGTTTAAAGACAGTAATAACTAGGCTATGCAGCTGAGAATAGTCCATTCTATTGTACAGTCCCTTTACTTGTCTTGAAAGTATGAGCTACAGAGTCGCGAGCCAATCCTAAGTAAGTTGCCACAAGAATGTAAGAAAGTCCTCCTAGAATGTTTCATTGTTGATAGTATCCCATCTTTTAACAGCTGAAGTTGGTTATTTTTATGTTGTAATTTTGTATTCGTTCATGTATTTATTTTGTTATTATATAATTATATTTTGATCTTAGGACAATGTACATTCTGGGTTATATTCCCAAAGACAACAAGCTTTATTTAAGCGACAAGGACATGAATGTGGTTGGATACTCCTTGCTGTTGTCGGTGTTGGAATATCAGACCGCTGTAATGAGACAAGACTTTGAAACCGCTAAACAGGTATACCTTCATTCTTAGGCAGTTTTACATTTCGGCGACACCCTTTTCACTGCAAACTGCAGTCGGCTCAGCCTTAAAGCTAGGAAGCAATTTGCTCAAAGCTCAAGACACGACCCGAAACACAAAGCCAGCAATGGCTAGAAGCTCTAATATGACCAGAAACACTAAGTATGCGAGTCAAAGTACACGGTGTACGCCTACAGTCGAACCCCGCTTAACGAACGCCTCGTGATTACAGTCTGCTTTGTTCTCGGGGAAAGCCCTTCCTTGCATTTGCTCTAAATTCACCCGGTTAATGCAGACACCCGGTTGCTATGGACACTCCTATTCCCTGCCCCCGGTCAGTGTCCCCGTTAACAGGGTTTGACTGTATTTCGAATTTCGATGATGGAGTCGTGTAGTTTTGTTTAAACGGAGCTTGACATGGTTATGGATGCTTCCATTACAGGTGCTGCCTACTATCCCTCGAGAGCAAAGGAACCGTGTAGCTCACTTTTTAGAGAAACAAGGCTTCAAGCAACAAGCCCTTGTCGTCTCGTGTGACCCAGAACACAGGTAAACAAAGATCCTTAAAATCTAATTTTGATACACTTACCCAAATCAACTTTTAAATTAGAAGCTTCTGAAGGTTCTGTCCACACAAGTCTAGTTTTAGTTTGCATTTATTAGTTTGTTCGTAGAAGAAAAAAAAATTACGATATCGTTCATGCTGTAACCGCGTAGATTTGCATAGGTTTTCAAACGTAAGAGGACTAGTGCGGATGTATCGAACTCTCAACTAAATTAATTTCGTTTTGTTTGGCTGCTACTGTGCTCTCGTTTATTTCGCAGGAACGTTTTCTTACTACTTTGTATTTCACTTATTGCTTTGGTGTTGATCTTAGTTACAGACGTCTTGCTGCGGTTATCAACGTTTTAGGTATTTTCGTCCCAAGAGTACACCGTCTGAGAGGAGTTGTTGGTTACTAATTTTTGTTTTCTGTTAGATTTGACCTGGCAATTCAACTTTCTGAACTGAAGATCGCTTATGAGATTGCTAGTGAGTCGGAGGTAAGCGTCCATGTGTAGTTTTAGAAAGATACCACTTGGCAATATATCTGACTTGCAATCAAGGACACTCAACTTGGGTCACACTGCTCTGGTACCTGCCTCTATCTCTTCCAATGTGGTGTTGTAATGGTTTTTCGATGGAATTGTCCAATTTCGAGGGAGAGAGAAAAGGACGTCGGCCGACCCAAGTTTTAATGTCAAGAATTGTGGCTTGCTTTCTGCAAGGGAATGTGCGAATGGTGGTTGTTATTTTTCTCGAGAAAATAATCGTTTTCTCGAAATCTTGGGTATGAATATTCAAAAATGCTGGTTTCTCGAAACACGAAACGCAAACCTCGAGACTCGATTCTCGCGTCCTGAAATTCTAGTTCGGTCGAGTTTCCAGTCGTGACTTTCGAGGATGAAGTCGAGACTTTCAATTTTCTTTTGAGCGGTTCTGTAACTTTCCATTTTCCGCGTTTCCTGTCTTGTCTCCTGCTTTAGAGTGAACAAAAATGGAAGCAGCTTGCAGAGCTGGCCATTTCCAAGTGCCAATTCCAATTGGCGCAGGAGTGCTTGATTAACGCCCAGGATTTCGGCGGCTTGCTGCTCCTGGCAACATCTGCAGGTGACGCGGATATGATTCTACGACTCGCCGAGACGTCTGCTCAGAAGGGAAAGAACAACGTGGCCTTCCTTGCGTATTTCCTCCTTGGAAGGTAAGCTATAGCGATGGGCACGCTGACGTCGCCTGTTGATAGCAGAGAGATTTAGAGTGGTCTTTACGGTAAACGGCAATCGTCAGATTCAAGCTGACAATTTTCGATAATAAACTAACGTGAAGCTACTAATTTTGTGGGTGGAAGTAATGAACAGTAAACGACAAGAAAACGGAAAACTTCGTCACGTGGTACAATTCGCCGTAAACGTGACTCTAAATCCGTCTATTAGTGAACGTACGCAAAAGGACTGCGGAGGAAAGGAGACGGCAAGCCTTGTTTGACAAGCAGGACGGTGATTGTCTTTGAAAATATTTTCTGCCAGACTTCTCCTTCCTTTAAATAGATCTTTTTGTAAAAGACCAGAAACAGTGTTGTTAATTGAAGCTCACGACAAAACTCACAAGAAATAGCCCTACCTCGTTTGTGACAAACAAACGTTTTGCCGTCCTCTTCTTTCTGCCGTCCAGTTGCGTAAGCTCACTGCTAATTGCCATACAAATTTGAATACCAAAAGCAGTGTTTATAAACAGTGATGTCTCCTTTCCTGTCAACTCTGCCATCAGGGTAATTCAATTGACTGAAGAGCGGTAGGCCAAGATTTGATTCTCACCCTGACCAACTCTCCGGGTCTCGAAATAACCGAAAGTGCTGCCTTTGCTTTGAAATCAGCAAATGGTTATGCTCTCTAGTCTTCTCGCATGAGGACAGAAAGCCGTAGGTCCTCTCTCATAATACTTTCGCTTAATCTGACTCTTTGGGATGGAAAAGAGCCACCACGAAAGTAAGAAATCTCTGTCTTTGGACACTTCTAGTGTCTTTGTTATTAATACATTCATATAAGAGGGTATTCGTAACTGGAATCAACTAAAGTTCCTGGGCAACTGACCACCCACCCCTCTCCTAAGTCGCTTTGGGCTGTATTAAGCGTCTCTGTGTTAGAAGATTGGTCGAACGACTGAAAAGATGAAAAGAGAAAGAAACTACTGTAGCTGTTGGTTTTGTTGTTGTTGTTGTTGTTGTTTTAGTAGAGATGGACGTTAGTAGAGAGTTGACTTTATAATGTTTTGCTGCAGATGTGCGCTTGTTCATTGGCTTTAAAAACTCTCGCCCTACCGGACCTTTGAATAGTTAAATCGCATTTGAATCGCTCACCGGGATTTCTTCTTTACGGTTTCGCCCTTTTTTGGTTTCTTAGGCCGCTTTCCATTTGTCAGAACTAACCGGCGAGACCATTCCTGTCGTAATGATAATTTCCCTGTTAATCAAACCTCTCCGGTCAGATCAGTCAAATCATAAATAGTATGCACGAGAGAAATGGTTTTTAGCATTTTATTTTTAGCGTTAAAAAACCCTTGGAAAAAGCCTATTTCATTTTCAAACTGACTGGTCCGGCCATGGTCCGTCCGGCCAGTTCTAACAAATGGAAAGCGCCCTTAGAGTACTTAGCATCTGCAGCTTAATTTTCGAGTGAAATAATTAAAATATGTTGTCTTTTTGTCAGGTTGGAAGAAGGGATCGAGTTACTTTGTAGCACCGGCCGCTACCCTGAAGCGGCCTTCATGGCCCGTACATACTTGCCAAGCCACGTGTCAAAGTAAGTTGTTCTTAAACACACTTACTTGATCAGTTTATTGTCAATCTTCTTGATCGTCTTATTTACGTGAGTTCACCAATTTTGACAGGGTCACCGCAACAGCGCATGGCGCCAATTACTGCTGGCCCGTAACATCCCCCCCACCCTCCCATGAGAAATAGGGGTCTACGTCCCCTACCCTTTTGAAACAGCAGTGTGGGTTCTTCCTTCCAGTTTATTGATGACACAGGATGAAGGAGAATGTCACGCCACCGCTCGTAGCTATCGAACGCTGCGTTGATGCCCCAAGATCCACATATAAATTGTCCAGACTGATCTCTATGCAGTTCCTTTAAGAGCAGTGGAGAGAATTTGGTTTAAGATTAAAGAATTCTCCTTTGGTAGTCAATTTAGTAATTCTAATGTTGTTGGGAGAAAATTGATGTTGGTCACTCGTGGGACCTAAATGGTTAAAGTCGTCTGATTCCATCACTAAAATTCCTAGTTAATTTCTGTGTGCAAGAGCCAGCTTTTGTCGTTAAAGAAAGCAAAGTATCCACGGTCATTTTGTCATATTTGGAAATCTAAACGAAAGATATTAAACTGTTCTATTCGAAGAGAATACAAAGCTTGATCGGTTTTTGGTCAAGTGAATCGAAGTTCTCACTTACAAAAACAAACTCTACTACAAGCAGCATTTACTGCGCCTTGATTTAAATTAGGCTTGATTTATTGTAATTATGTCATGTTTTTGTCGTTTTTGTTGTTGTTTTTTAACCGTAAAGCACATTGGAATCAACTGAAACTTTGAATACTAAGTTATAGTTTCAGCTCATCTTTCAACCAAAAATGTAGAACTTACCACGACAGCCCGTTTCATGACATGTGTAATTGAATGCTAAAATGCACCAACTTACACATTAATGAAACCTTCCGCATTCTTGCACTTGTTTTCGGCGCTAGAATTGTGAAGCTGTGGAAAGAAGATTTAGGAAAAGTCAACAAAAAGGCAGCGGACTCACTGGCAGACCCCTCCGAATACGAAAACCTGTTCCCAGAATTCCAAGAAGCCCTGCAAGCTGAAAAGGTAACTGTTAATCTACGTGCAAACGGACGCAACAACTCCCAACATTGTTGTCCCATTGTTGTTGCTTGTTACTTGTTAGCAATTTGGGCCATGCACTTGTGAATGGAACATGTCAATTAAAGTGGCTTGTGTCCATCACCTTAAACTCCTACTACCTAAAAGTGCAAAGAGAAATTGAAGCTTGTCGCCTTTCTAGCCAGTTTTCGTGGCAAAGGAAGTGAATCAAGTTGCTACACACCCGTGTCCACAACCCCATTCCTGCAGTCTGCTATGTTACTTTTCACTTCTATTGGGAGCCCCCTCCCCCCCCCGCCCCCTACTCCGATATCCTCCGAAATTCACCCTTTCTGTATTTCATACTACTTATTTCTACGCAAGTTTCGAGAGAGGTTGTGTATTTTTCTTCACATTTTCACGCCTTGACTTTTCACTGGCCGAAAAATATCGTTCTCCTCCGTGAACCACTCAGACCTAAAGCTCTGCTTGGCGCCGATTACATGATTCGCGATCTGATTGGCTCCTTTAGTTTACGCCTGCCCATTGTGATTGGCAGACTGAAGTAGTAGGTTGTGTAAATGACACTTATTTTATGCATTTAGTTCCTGAAGAGAGAAAGAGTGCAGATGAAACCTGCTTCCCAATATAAGAATGTTCAGGTGAGCAATTCAGTAGTTCTGTAAATGCCGGGTTCGTACAGAGTCATGCATTATTGGCAGTCTCAACATATGCAAACCAATTTTCTGCCCTGGAAACACATTGGAAAATTAAGACTAAGTCTGGAAAAGTAGTAAAATATCAGTGTTTTATGGGTAAAACTTGATTCCTGCGTATGTTGAGGTTTCCAGCGGTCGCGTATTTGTTAACCGGAGCGTGGAAGCAAAAGTCCGAATTTTTCGTTTGAAAGTCTGCACGAACCCTGTAAGTATAATATAGACATAGAACGGTAACGAATTCTAATCTTGGCGCGAAACTATGCAAGTTTTGAGATGCTATGAAGGTGTTCCACCATTAAAAGGCCAAGCTAAAGGATTCAGACGGGCTTGGTGTCGAAAACAACATTCAGAGGAAAATGTGAACATTGGCCAAAATTTATGCGTAAACAAATCAAAAACCCACAATTGTGACCGTTTTCGTCATGCCTACATGCATATTAGTAGGTAAAAAAATAGTATAGTTGTAAAATTGGGGAATATTTTCAAACGTCAGAATGTTATTGCACATTCTATTAATTTTTTTTGTTATTACTATTATTATCTCCTGTTTTTTTACAGCACAATGCTGAACGCGATGTATTTGAAGAAATGAAAGCAGCAAAAGAGGAAGGCAGCCTGGACTCAATTCTGGTAAGAAACTTAATCACCTGGAAAACTACCATTAGATGACTGGAATGTGCACGGTTTCATCGCTGATGTTGCTTGAATTGGGTTAAAAAGCGCTTGTATCAAAATCTGGTAAAAATAAAGTATTGTTTTTGGAAAAAGTCTGATAAAAGTCTTGAATTTTGGATCCAAAAATCTTTGCGAACCCTATAAACAGTACACTGGCAGGAAAGTAATTTTCAGCAGAATCAATGTTTGGAACTACTTTGCTCAGCATAATAAACAGTCACGTAAAGGTTATGCTCAGTACCTTTTATTCAAGTGGTTAAACCACAGGATTACATTCAGACATCAAAACACTTTTAAGGTCTTCTATACCAATTTCAATACAAGCGCTGAATGGTGTTGTTTGAATTACAGGCAGCTGTAGAGAACTTGACATTTAATGAACCTTCTGCATCCAAACCAATGGTACCTTCAGTACCGACATTTGCCGCCTCGCCAGCATCAGTCTCGTCCCCACCGCCTCCTGGGCCAGCAGACAGGCCGTCAGCGGCTGTGTCCTCAGCGGCAGTGCCCCCATCAGCGAAGGCGCCTGACATCGATAAGAAAGAGGAAGTTAAAAAAGACAAGGTTAGTAGTTACTGTGTAAGAGTGATGTGGCACAATGGGTTTTTTCGATCAGTTCTGTATGTGGGTGGGTGTGTTTTGATTTCATTGACGAAGTTCGGGGTCAAGATGGCTAGATATCGGTCAGGCTATTTGTTTGTTTGTTTGCTTGCTTCTACCTGTTTCCTTCCTAGTCATTCCTCTCTTTCTCACTGCCTACGGCTGTTAAAACCTGTTACTTACTAGTGACCAAGCCACGCAAAAGAACTAATGAAACATAATTTCCTGTTTGTTTTCTCGCTAGCACAGTGCCTGTCATTCCTGTTCTTACACTTATACCCACCGACTACAACCCCGTTTTTTGGGCATGCGCAGCGCAGTCCCCTCACCCCTTGCAGTGTGTGCAGTATCGGAAAGCTTAAGCGATTTTCAACTTTGTGAAGGGTTAAATCGACCAAGTGTCCCAACTGTTTTGTCCGGGATTGTAGCTCCTCGTGTCTTCCTCCCCTCCAACAGTCACCAGTACTTTGCATCTGCTCAAACGTACTGCTCTCTGTCACCTTGTCTTCATAGCTTTATCCGGTCTCCCGAGAGGCGGGGGAAACCGACCAACTATTTTGTCAGGGGTTGTAGCTCCCCGTGTCTTCCTCCCCTCCAACAGTCACCAGTACTTGGCAACTGCTCTGAAGTGTTGCTATCTGTCACCCTATCTTGATCGATTTGTCCAGTCCCCCGAGAGGCGGGGAAAACCGACCAAAAATTTTGTTAGGAGTTGTAGCTCCTCATGTGTCCCCCATCCCCCCTTACAACAGTACTTTGCATCTGCTCTAACTTATCGTTCTCTGTCGCCCTGTCTTGATCGGTTAATATCCGGTCCTTTTCTTTTGTATTAACAGTTGAAAAAACTCCTGCTGTACCTTGCATTACAGGATGAAGACTTCGACGATGATTTCGATGATTTCGACCAGGACGACGATGTAAGTCTTCCCTTTTAAAGTGCCCATCACCTAAAATTTATTACTTTCTTATCTGAAACTATACCTTATTAACATAACTTCTGCGAAAAAATTTTGCGATTTGAACCAAAGACGATTTTTTTAATAATTTTTTAAAAACGTTCAAATTTGCCGCCAATTTTTGCACAACATTCGTCTTAGTCTTCTCTCGGAGTATGGCGTCATATGACGTACTTTAAGGGACACGTGACCTTATCGACAGGAAAACACTAAGAGTTCTGATAGGTTTTTCTTTTTCAGAAAAACTTTCTTCTTGCGAAGACATTGTAATTCAATTCTTACTTGTAATTTATCTTTTTTGTGTACCGCTGGGTAATGCGAGTTCCTTAATTTACGTCACATGACGTCATATGTGAGCCTGCTAGTTTGCATGATCAGCAGCGCGTGTGTACCGCAAAAATGTAGACTTAAAAAATTGTTTAAAAAATCGCGTTTTGTTCACACCGCAAAATTTTTTCGCACAAGTTATTTTAATAAGGTAAAGTTTCAGATAAGAAAATATGAAATTTTAGGTGATGGGCACTTTAAACAGTACTTTCAATGACAATGTGGCCTTTGCCAAGCAGACAGCAGGCGTCGGACTCGCAATCCGGCGGTCCCGGGTTCGAGTCCCGCTCTTGGCACTTGCTGGATTTGTTCTCGGTCGTCCCTAGTTCAAATCCTCAGCCACGTTTGTAAATAGCCAACCGGTTGCCTTCTGCCAGTTGGGGGTTTTTAATCCTGTTATGGTGTACTTGAATTTCTTAGTATTCGAGTGAAGTGCCTGTAAACTAGCTGGATAAGTTAAGTGCCTTTTCCACTATAAACAAGCCTTTAAATCACTTAACCTTCATCCATTGATGCATTGTTTCATTCACTCACCTTCCCACCTACTCACCTACTCATTCACCCAGCTGCCCACCCACTCTTTCCCGAACTTACTCATTCACACAACTAATTAACTAACCAATAAAAAGCAATCATTCCTTCATTCTTGACTTCCAGGATTTCGGCCAGGACGATGATGTAAGTCTTTCCAATGTAACTAATTCATTCATTACCCCCCACCACTTCTTACGTACCCACCCACCCACCCAACCAGTCACTCAATCACCTACCTGGCCACTAACTCTTTAAGAAGAAAACGTATTGCGTTCAACGGGAGAAAGATACCAGGAGCAATGTAAGCAACGAACTATGCGGCACATTCGCCACCTAAGAAGCGACAAGGAAATTGGACCAAATTAACGGTCACAAAGACTTCTCGGTTTGTTGCGAGGGGCAAGGAAAAATTGGCCAATAGCTGATCAGCGCGCCGCCAGTAACGATCCCCGAAACGACTGTGGGACGCATTTCGTCTCTGGTTCCCTTCTCGTTTCTAAAGTGGCGGCTCGACTTTATTAACGTTTGAAACCTTGATATCAAAATTGAAATTCTCATTTACCGTCCCTATACATTTTCAATGAAAGTAGTGGGGAGGATTTGTTGAAATATCAATTAGACTCTTCTTCCCTGATAATGTACTCAATTCTCATGACCACTCTGTTTTCTAAAGCATTGATATTATAAGGAGAAATTTCAGGCTGATCACTCTTACGGCTTATAGGATTAAGTTCATATTATTTTTTTTTTCCTACAGGATGACCTAAATGTCGACGACGACGATCTTCTAAACGATGACGATGATGATTTACTCGACGACTAACACGATATGAAATTTGAGGGATTTTAATAATGAGAATTTTCGCTATTCTTAGGTATATTCGGTTTGATCGGAAGCATGCTTCAGGTTTGACATAGGCATGGGTCGCACTTGGCAAATTTTTGCGAGAATTTGTTTACCTTGCGGTAGAAATCTGTCATCGGTGGACATTGCTAAGTGCGACCCCGAGTTTTCAAGTCAGGAAAAACTTTGAAAATCGGCAAAAACATCAAAGACGCCGTAGTGCTTGGGTGGGGCAGGCAGATTTTGGAAAACTCGAGCTAAACAATAGGAATCACAGCGATAACTGTCAGCGCCTTGTCATGAACGTGATCCATTTGAAACACGATCAATTTAAAATAAACGCGGTCGAATTTTCAGACCTTCGCGAAGAGGCTTTTACTCGGCTATCCTTCGCCATTTCAAGTTTTTTTCGAAAACTCTCTACAGGCAAGGACTTCACTCGCTTTTAAACCTTCGCTATTTTAAGGTTTTTACGGGAACGAGCTCTATTGAAGGCGAACCAGTTCCCGTCTGCACAAGCAAACACTTCACAGGTTTGTTATTCTCCAAGCCAAATGTACTATTCGCATCCAAGCACTTTCCGGTCTTCTTTATCTGTCCCATCCTCCTGAAACTGGGAATGGAGGAAAAAGATCCTTCGACAGAGGTGCGGACGAAGAAGAGAAAAATGTTTTCTGGTATCTGGGGTTCTTAAGTTCTCAATGTGTCAAAGCAAAAACTATTAACTCCCACTAATGCGACCCTCCTCGGTTGGACTAAAAGTTTTCTTTTCCGGTTGCGGTTTCGAATTTTTGTGGTTTTTTAGCCGGCAAAGATGAAAACTTTTCCCAAGTGCGACCCATGCCTAATAGTAAATGTTTAGTTTTCTAAATGCTTGCTTGCTGCTGAGAAGAAAAGTTATTATCAACAGCATGCAGTTATTGCAATGGAACATAAATTAATAAAAAGAAAGAATACATTTCAGTGAGTAAGCTGTTTGTTATTAGAGAGGTTAATGAGGCTGAGTGTGGCTAGTTCATTTCATTTGTAATGCCAGTTACCCCTCGTTATTGGCGAAAGAACTTGAGAAATTAGAGAGCTTTAGATTCTGAGACGAGAACGACTACGAGTACGAGATTTTCTCATTACTGAGTATTGCTCACGCTTGAACCAGCGTCATTTTGGCGGCAAAAACGTGATAGCCGTCGTCATTCTACTACGAGTTTTAGCGATAATGTCGTAGTGGCGGGAACAAGTTATCAAATGTAAGACGTTTTATCATTTTGCTATCTGGAGAGGGCTTGACCTCCTTCAGTTTAAATAGCCGTACTGACCTTTTTGGTGAAAAAAAGTAAAATGAAGCTTTCCGGGGTGTCTTTTTTGAGAACACGCGCAAAAACTTTAAGTTAAATCTCGTACTCGTTCTCGTCCCCAAATTAGAGACCTTTAGATTCTAGGACGGGTACGACTACGAGTACGAGATTTTCTCAATACTAAGTAGTGTACGCGTGTGAGCCAGCGTCATTTTGGCGGGAAAAAGTGGTAGCCGTCGTCATTCTGCTACGAGTTTTCGCGCGAATGTCGTGGTGACGAAAACAAGACATCAAATGTTAGAAGTTTTATCATTTTGCGATCGGGAGAGGGTGTGACCTCCTTCACTAAAGATAACAGTGCTAACTTTTCTGGTGAAAAAATGGTAAAATGAAGCTTTCCGGGGAGTCTACTTTTTGAGAATACGCGAAAAAGCTTTAAGTCAAACCTCGTTCTCGTTGTCGTACTCGTCTTAGAATCTAAAGGTCTCTATTACCTCAAGGTGGACCGACCCAGTAGTTTTCTAGACACCCCTTCTTCACATCCATAGTTATCAGAGGAGACTGGTCATGAAAGACAACAAACATCAAATATAAAAACAACAGTGCTACAGTTTATGTTGGAAGCTCCCTGAAGGTGCACAATCCTTTGTTTTTTTTTTTGGCAATTGCGACGGAGTAAATTAATGCAACGTTTTTATTGGTCAGAAGATCAAAATGATGGGAATGCCATTGAACGTTGTGCACCGTCAGGTCCACAAAATAACCATTCCAATCTATTAATTATGTCACATCTAAACAGCTTGAACTTTATTCAAGGTCTACAATAAAAACACATGGATTACAAAGAGACTGGACCCTGCTACGATGTTAGCAGATCGAGATCGGAATAACTATCACGTGATGACGACGTCACAATTGTTTTACCTCTCCTTTTCAGTATGTTTTTTTTCCTCGAAGAGCACGTACTTTGGTTGCTTGCCCAGTTATAAAATCCCATAAGAGGAATTTGGAGAGATCTTGTAATTTGAGCATAATTTGTGTATGAACAGAAGACTGGACTTTATGGAAACAAATTTGCTACTTTTGAATGTTTCCGGAACGTTTTTAACACCCCTTTAGATACTCCTTTAGTAAATTTCCCTTATACATTCTCCGAACCGCTGAAAGCAGAAACGCTTGCGCGAATTAAAACATAAAACATGAAAATGTATGAATCAGGGTAAAACACAACGCTGAGCTGTGGCAATTTCTTAGGCTACTATTTTCAGGGGCTACAATTGGTCTCTGTACTTTGCTAAAAGTGCACCCACGGAATTTTCTATTGCCATTTAAAACTTGTTTTAAAAGTATTCTTAGTAACGTATATGAAATTAAGTGTATCAAAGCGCATGGGCTCCTGTAGTAGGCCAGTTTCGAAGTATATACATTCATACTTGGCCTCGAGGGTAAGGGAAACCACGTGCACGTGACGTCACGGCGGCCATGGCCGTGGTGTGTTAGTGTTAAGGAAGAAAGCATTTCTCTCCTGTGGGAACAAAACTCTACTTCCATGTAAATTCGTTGCGAAAAAATGCTATTGTACTGACCACTAACATGGCCGCCTTGTCACGTTTTTGCAAGCCAAGAATGTCTGAGTCGCCCTAGGCCTCTGCCCTGCTCTGTTTTGAAGGGAGTGTAAGTGCGAAGATTGATATGAAAATGATCATTCATTCTGATGCAAATAAAACTCATTTTCACAAGAAAGATTTAGCACTTGGCTTCGTTTTGACATAGTTATTAGAGGAGACTGGTTATAAAGGACAACAAACATTAAATATAAAAAAACGGTGCAGCAGTTTATGTTGGAAGCTCACTGAAGGTGCACAAATCCTTTGTTTTTTGTTGGCAAATTGTGATGGAATAAATTAACGGGATGATTTTATTGGTCAGTAAAATCAAAATGCTAGGAGTGCTATTGAACGTTGTGCACCGTCAGGTCCACAAAAACATATAACAAAGGAGACTGACGGGTTTCATATCCATTGCAATCTAATAACTATGGTTTTGAAACTAAGTGTGTTGGGAGTTGTTGGTCAACAATGTTGCGTCCGTTTGCACGCTGCCTTAGGGTAGATTCATTTGCAACATACGCGTGTAGCTGTCGCATTTGCTCACTGGAATTTTTCATGGTTTTCAGGCTTAAAAACAATTAAAATTCAAGCAGGCAAATGCGACAGCTACACGCGTATGTTGCAAATGAATCCACCTAAGGCTGCGTGCAAACGGACGCAACATTGTTGACCACCAACTCCCAACATTGTTGGATGCTACGTGTTGCGTCCGTTTGCACACCCTGTTGCATGTTGTTGCGTGTTGTTGCGCAAAGTTTGAAACCGGTCAAACTTTTCAGCCAACAACTCCCAACATTTATTTTGTTCCGTGATCGCCGAAGCGTAGCGCAAGAATGCTGGATCCGTTTGAACAGCTCGTCCAACATTGTTAGGGCCACGCACGCTCATTACGCATAGTTTACAAAGACTTGTGGGTTGTATCCTCCCACGATGCACTGCAGGTCCCAACATTGTTGGGAGTTGTTGCATCCGTTTGCACACCACGGCCAACACGTACGCAACAACTCCCAACATTGTTGGCGCAATGTTGGGAGTTGTTGCGTCCGTTTTCACGCAGCCTAAGAGTTCTCGGAATTAGAAAATGGCCTATTATTCGTTTCTTTAAGAATTATTGGATGAGACTTTGAGAATAGTGACGTGCAGAATTTGCAGATCGAAGAGAGAGCCCAAGACCGAGTTGGATAACAGCCTCAAAGATCAGCATATAATTATTTCTCGGCTCGGTTTCAGGATTTAAACAGATGTTTTTTTTTCCTGTTTTTCTTGCAGGTATTCCTCAAAAAGTAGATAACATCCAGGGCCCAGTTGTTCGAAGGCCGATTAGCACTTAACCCGGGGTTAAATGTAACCAGGGTTTCTTTTTCTTGTGTTCAAAAGCATTTTCTCGGATAATTTTCTCTGTTATTTTTAGAGCTTCCAATTATCAACTTGTAGACAAAAAGAATTAAAACTGAAATGCTTTTTAAGCTTTCAAAGCTGAATTCAAATCTCGCACTAACCCTGGGTTATCTTAACCCAGCTTTGAACAACTCGGCCCTGATAATTCTTCACAACCAACCGGCGCTTACCATATTTGAAATAATATAGGCAGGCAATAGCCTCGTTTTGGGGGCAGTAACCGCTTCAATTGTACATTGATCGCTGCAGGATAGCTGTTTATGTTTGTTTGTGTCTTTTTCACTAAAAAGAAAAATGAAGGACAAAATAGCCGGCTGTTTCTAAGACCGCAATAGTCAAATTTCTGACTAAAACTGAACGAAAAGCAATAATACGCAAAAACTGTTGCTCGAAACGTGGCATCTTCTTTTAAGGAGTATCTATAAAAAAAGGAAAACAAACAAACAAACAAAAAACATAAAGTTGTTATTATCCTGAAACCGTGTCGAAAAAAGGCAAATGATTGAAGAAAGTGTACTAGGACTTTAGGTTTAAAAAATTAAAAGAAATTGAAAGGATATTGAATTGAATGGATATTGTATATTCTTCACATCACACTCAGCCTCATTCAATAATTGTTAAATAATTTTAGCTAGTACTTGCAAAAATGACAATGACGGGATAGAAATGGTTCCGCCATCAGTCCTTTTTTCCCCAGTAACACTAACCACCGCCTGGTTAGCTCAGTTAGGAGAGCGCCGGTCTGCTGAGCGGGAGGTCGCGTTTTCAAACCCGATCGGGCCAACACTGAGGGTCTTTACATGACTGAGAAGAAAGTGCTGTCTTTGTAGTGACGTCTGCAAACAGTTAGACTTTCTATGGATAAGGACAACATCTCAGTAATTTGACTTGTTTGGTTCTTGTGGAACGTAAAAGAACCCACACCAATGTTCGAAAAGAGTAGGGGAAGTAGACCCAGGTAGCATGGCCAATCTTTCTGAGCAGGGTGGGTTATCTATAAGGAGAGATCTTTATATAGGGATAACCTCGTGATCCTCCCTCAGGAGTCATAATGGCGGCCTGAAAACTATGTATTTATGTACTTTATTTTCATTTTTATTCTAATGTAATGCCTCGATGATGTTACAGCAGCTCTGTAAGGAGATCAGAAGGTAATTATTGCAGAAAAGTTATGTCCTGATATTATGTAATCGAGACGTCTTTATAGGAGCTTTGGTGAAATAGCTGCTTTGATAACACGTCATCTGCCAAGTGAAAGAAAAAAAAAATAGATTAACAAATAACCGGACAGTCGGGTAGATAAGGCAATTAATCAATTAATTAATTATAATATTCTTACAGGTTAACTCTTAAAGAAAATGCGACTAAGAGATGACATCGAAAAACTCCTTGCTTCGTTAAAATGTAAGTATAGGGAAGACATTACACAGCAAAAAAGATTATAATGAAAAATACTGTTTCGACAGCTAGT